GCGGGATCAACCTTTGTATTCATGCCCTACCTGAGCCCACAGACCCAATTTCAATTCTACAAGTTGTGGGTATTTAAACGTGGCCCTTTGCGCCTCATTTTCAGAAGAGTTAGTCTGTGTTTTGGTGCTAACTCAGGCCAGTGAAGAAAAAAAGTTTCCTTTAACAAACTGTACATTGATCTCCTCTTGTGTTTTTTTTTTTTTTTTTTTCTCTTACCTTTCTTTAATGGGTCTTGCCGAGAGAAAAATCAAATGTGAAACAACTAGTTTTTAAGGGGCCGTAAGGAGCTCAAATGTGTTATCCTTGATTTGTAGAGGGGATGTAATAGCCTTGATCCATATCAGTCTCATGCTACTTTTCTCTAGTCTCTGAACATCTCCTGTAGCATGCCAGCAGCCACTGATAGTCTCTTGTAGCATGCCCGTAGTCTCCTGTTGCACATCTGCAGTGTTTGACAGCTGTCTGTAGCATTACATTTACTGCATATTATGTAGGGTTCTTTGGTGTTGTCAGGGCTGCACTTGAGGCCCCATATTTTAAAAGAGAAGTTCACTTTTGAAGCATGTTCCATGTTCCGGTCATGTGACAGGCTTGTGGCGCCACTCAAAGTCAGGCAATATGAAGTAACCCCTTCGATGAGAGTGGGAGCAGGCGCCCTAACACTCCTGGGGTGTAGGATCGCAAGGAGATATGGACACCGCTCAAAACTGCCCACATGATAGATTAAGTGGAGATTGTTTGTGTTGGCCCCAGCCCTCACTCTGACCACGCCCTCGTGGCCAGAGCGAGAGTTGAGGCCAACACAGACGCTCTCCATTTAATCCATGTGGGCCGCTTTGAGTGGCGTCCATATCTCCTTGTGATGTTACATGTTCCATCTGTTTTTAGGGATTGTCTCCTTACACGGCTGTGTCATTCATTCACAATTTCCTGTGAATGAATGCCTACAAGTACCGTTAGCCATTGCAGCTGATGCATTCAGGAGCCTCAGATTGCACCCTCAATAGTCTGCTGATCTTCCTGCTGAGCAATGCTCTGCAGGCTGCTTAGAGGGAAAAAAAAAAGAATAAAGGAGCCTCACATTTTATTATCCTTCAAAAAGAGGGAAAAAAATGCACATTTTTTTTTTTTGTTTTTTTTTTTTTTTTCAAAAGGTGAACTTATCCTTTAAGTAAGATGTTCATCACTGCATTAGAGAATATGAAGTTAAGAAATAACGTGCCTTGTGCCCTCTAGTGGATTTTTAGACGTGTATAGAGAATGTTAGAGAATGTACAGTATATAAGAAGGTTAAAAAAACAGAGCGGCATTTATCTGAGTTCTTTGTCAGCTGTAGCTGTTTCAGGAATAGGGTGAGAAGTCTATACTGATGTTACAGAGAGCAGTAAAGAACCAGTAGGTGGACTAACCATGGTTCAGTCTATTGAAAAAAGAATAAATGTTTTGAATTGAGGTTTTATTCCAAGTTTTTTACTCTTTGCTGCTACATTTCACTAGTGGCTTATAGAAGCAGATTCTACCTTACCTTTAGATTTCTTTAGAAAATATATTACAATATGTTCCATAGCTGATATAAAGTATTGGTATTTGAAAAGGAAAGGAACGCCTTTTTCGCATTTCCAGACTTCTTGGTAGTGACACTGAAGATTTGTGTGCCTTTAGTTAGACACATTCAGTATGGATGCTTCCTGCCTAGGACTTGACAGTGTAATCTATATTCGCTCTGCTGACAAAGATCAAGCTCCTGTAGGCAGCTGACTCACACAAGTCATACATCAAAATTAGGGCATAGAACATGTCATTGGTATCATCATGAAGCATGTCTCTGTCACTGTCTAATCTGAGTGCTTTGTGCCCACTTACGCTAGCCATACATTATACAATTTTCTTGAGAATTTTGCTTTAGATTTACCAAAAACCATATAATATGAGGTCAAACCTAAACAACACTTTCATTTGTGTCCAATTAGGCAGGCCCTTGCACTACATAGTTGATGGTAAATCTAAAGGAAATTGGGCAGAAATTGGACAAAAAAACTGTAAGAAAACTGTATAGTGTATGGCCAGCCTTAAAGCTAAGGAAGGCCATACAAAGCAGTTGGGCAAGAAGATATCTCTCCTTAGTTTATGGAACGTGAGACATCTGCCTATATGCAAACTAAGGCTGGCTTTGTATTGGGATCCATATAACCGACGCACATCTCATTTAGTAACACAGCACCACATTTGTATTCCATTTGAGATATATTGCTTGTTACACTGAGCATGCCCAGGAACTTAGGGCTGGTTCACACCACACAGATGCAGTCTACATCAGGCCTTGAAATTTCCACTCGCCTGCTTGCCAATGGCGAGGAGAAGTTATGGTGAGGGCGAGTGTGTCCCCCAGGGTCGTCTTGCTGAGCAGATACAGAGCTTAGGCCGGATCTGTCATTGGCACTGGGAGCCGTCAGACTGCTCAATAGCTGAGCGCAGTGAAATCAAAGGAAGGAGTGTGTGCTGTGTTCTCTGCCTCCCCCCCTAGAGTGCAGTACCTGGATCTGTGAGTGAACAACGAAGTACTGCAACTTTTTATAGGGTGTGTGTGTCTACCTAATTTCAGCTCACTCTGGTCACACAATCTTCTGTCAGCCAGTGGTTGCTTCAGGGGAGAGGAGAGAGCACTTAACAGCGTGCGTGTGTGTCTGTGTGTATCTGTACATGTGTCTGTCTGTATGTGCATGTACGTGTGTGTGTGTTTATGTACGTACATGTGTCTGTGTATGTATGTACATGTGTCTGTGCGTGTGTATGTATGTGTATCTGTGTGTATGTGTGTCTGTACTTGCCTGTGTGTGTATACATGTGTCTGTGTGTGTGTGTACATGTGTCTCTGTCCGTGTGTGTACATGTTTCTGTGTGTGTATGTTGGTGGCGAGTAACTCTTAAGGCCTGGCTAGTAGCTCAGGACTTGAAATTTTAAGCCCTGGTTACATGCTTGTGGCAGCACAGTGGCTAAGTGGTTACTACTTCCGCCTACCAGCACTAAGGTTGTTGGTTTGAATCCCAACCATAGCAATGCCTGCTTTGAAGTTTGCATGTTCTCCCTATGCTTGTGTAGGTATCCTCCCACATTCCAAAGACATGCTGGTAGTTGTTTTGGCTCCTGTCTACATTGCCCCTAGTATATGAATATGAGTTGGGGACTTTAGATTGTAAGCTCCTTGAAGGCAGGGCCTGATGTGAATGTAAAATTTATATGTAAAGCACTGTGTAAATTGACGGCGTTATATAAGTACCTGAATTAATAACAATTCATGTTTTATATGTGTTTTTTTTCAATATTTTACATGTTAGAAGGTTTCACATTATGTAAACAAAAGAGCTGACATCACAAAATAAACAGTGTGTATGGGGGGGGGGGCACACTTTTTTTTTTTTTCCTTTCTATTGCATGACAGTTATATCTCTGTTTATATGACAAATCATTGTGTGTGTGTGTTGGGGGGGGGGGGGGGGGCAGGGCTCACTCCTTCAGCCCCCTTTCCTGGCCTGCAGGACTGTATGCTCAGATAAGAGTGTGTTAGCGATTTGGGGGGGGGGAGCCACACTTTTTTTATTTATTTTTTGGGCACAGGGGTTCGCCTTCAAATCCATGACAGACTGAATGGTCTATGCTCTTTTGGCACATGTTGGCTTTGGTCTTTCCATTCTGCTGTCATTGGGGAATCACAGCTGACAGCAGGGGTGAGTCACTGGTTGCTATGATGCCGGCAGGTACTAACTCCTAACAAACCACAGAATTTACAGGCAAAAATGCCTAGCCATGTACCAGTGTACGTCAATGCAGAACACATTCATCATGTTCTAATTTGGTGGGCTGCACTGCACTGGGGGGGGGGGGGGGGGGTAGAGCCATTGGAATAAATGGGAAATACTGGACAGTGTTTTGGCAGCCCTCACAAATGTGAGATTTCCTGCTCTGTACCCTGCACATGCTCAAGGACTTACAACTTATTATTATTTATTTATTCTTTATCACTGAGCATGCCTAGGAAAATGTCACACTTTCTGTTGTACACTGCATTGGTACACATGCTTAGATAAATGTTGCTTTCCTTCTGTTCACGCTAATGGACTTGTATCTTTGGCCTGCAGTGTGTGAATTGATACACATAGCCAAGGGCTAACATAGTTGGAAGGAGTATGTGTGCTAATCAGGTGCAATCAGTTGAGGCCCACATGATGAGACAGATTGAATAGTACTGCTGGGTGTGTCCTTTACTGGGCATGCTAGCAATACAGTGTTATATAAAGGACTGCAGTAGTTGGGTTTGCGTGGCCCGAGAAGAGGCCAGATTACTTGCTGCTGCAGTCCTTGGCAGGGCTTTTTTTTTTTTTTTTTTGGGGGGGGGGGGTGTATTATGCATATTGACCAACCCCACTAAAGTTTTTTTATATGTGTTTTTGTGTGTTTTTCTGTAATTGTTGTGCATTTGGCCCTCAAAAGTGGGTTTTTGTGAGCATGGCTTCAATGTTGTGTGTTTTTTTTGACCATGCCTTTATGGTTTTGTGAGCATCTGCTGACCCTATTTGTTACTAACAAATGCCAATTGTTCTACTCTTACAACACCCAACTTTGATCTAGTTTGCGTAATCATGTAGATTGTGCGGTCATGCAACACTCACCCAAATTAATTTTACAACCTTTTTTTCTACGAATCGAGCTTTCTTTCAGTGGTATTAGATCGCTTGTGCGTTTTTTATTTTTTGTGCTGTAGAAAAATAAAAGCGACAATTTTGAGAAAAAACATTATTTTTTACTTTTTGCTATTAAACATGTCCAGTAAAAAATTAAAAAAATCTAATTTTGTCATAAATGTTGGCCAAAATGTCTTTGCTAAAAAAAAATCCCAATACATGTAAATTAATTGGTTTACATAAAAGTTATAGCATTACAAATGGTGGTGTGTATATATACTGGGATCTTTTTTAAATATTTACTAGTAATGGCGGCGATCAGCGACTTATAGCGGGACTGCGGCGGGCATTCTGACACTGGGGGGAACTGACTTGGTGTCACTGACATCCCCAGTGACACCAATACAGTGATCAGTACTAATAAAAAGAACTGACACTGTACTAATGGCATTGGGCAGGAAGGTGTTAACATGTGTTGCGATCAAAGGGTTAACTATGTGCTGTGTGCTGTTTTACTGTGTGCTGTGTGTGTGCTTTACTGTGTGCTGTGTGTGTGCTTTCAATTGTAAGTACACTGCAGAGTCATGCAAAGCAGTGTGCAGGAGTTGACAGGGAAGAGAACTGTATTGTTTACATACAGTTCTCTCCCTCCGTCGGTAATGCTCCTCGATCACCAGGTGCCAGCGAGTAATCACCGGCTGGGACCCAGTGATTGACAGCATAGGCCACGAAAAGGGGTGCTGGTAGGGCACGGCCCCCTACCCGGAAATGCAAAATACATGATTGTGTGCACCCTTGCTGCCCTGTAGCAGTATATCTGCTATAGAGCTGCAGGAAAGCGGTTAAAGCCTGGAAAAAGTACAAGAACATGGGCAGGATAATCATCTTTAAGATGTTGCAACGTCCAAACCAGGAGTGTAGGCCTTAATTCTATTTGTCCATAAGGGTACAGACTTTACTAAACAAAGGTGGGAAGTTGAGTGGGAAAGTATTACTTAGGACCGGTGGAATATAGGTGCCCAGATACTTCAGAGCAGAAGTCCACTTAAGGTGACAGATTGTAAAGTATGCAACAGAGCAGAGGGTAACGCTGCACCCATGGCCTCCGATTTATTGAAGTTAATTTTCAAGTTGGAAAGGGCACCGTAGATCCTGAATTCGTCAAAAAGAGTCGGTAAGGCGGAATGAGGGTTGGTTAGAGAAAATAGCATATTATCAGCGTAGGCGGATACCTTACAGTGAGAGGGTCCGACCTGTATAACCTTAATGTCTTTGTTTGACCTGACTTTACATGGGAAGGGTTCCAGGGTGAGGGCAAATAATAAAGGGGAGAGCAGGCAACCCTGTTGAGTCCCATTAGATATTGCAAAAGGTTTTGAGTATACCCCATTTGCCTTAACTGAGGCCGTCGGGGTGGTATAGACATTGTATATCCAATGTATGACCCATTCTCCTAACCCCATATGATGCAGGACTGCGAACATGAACTTCCAATTCACCGTCAAAGGCATTTTCCGCGTCGGTACTCTAAGTCTACGTGATCTAAATGGACCAGCTGAAGCAGATGTGGTTGAATGCAGGAGGCTACGAGCTTGGTAAACAGTTTCAAGTCAATGTTAAGTAATGAGATAGGCCAATAGCTACAACAAGATTCCGGATCCTTGGGATATTAGCTAGAAGGGCTGCCGACGGTAGTGAAGAGGACTTGCCTAAGGAGTTAACCTTGATGTTCTAGCATGGGGAGGAGGGCTTTATAATGTTGTATAATGAAACCATCTGGGCTCGGTGATGTTCTCAATTTAGTAGTGCCAACCACTGCCTTTACCTTCTCTAGTTTATTCGGGGCCTCAAGATCGCGTCGTATCGGAGAGGAAAGATGTGGAAGTCATGAGGTAGTCTTCAAGAGATGAAGGTGAAGAAGGGGCAGCAGAGAGATTATACAGGGATGAATAATATTTGCAAAACGCTTGAGCTATGGCCTTTGGTAATGAGCACTTCTGTCTGTCTGAGCCAGTAATGTGCTGGATATAAGATGCTGTCTGGTGGCCACGTAAGGTCTGAGCCAGTGGCCTCCCACACTTGTCCCCAGATTCATAGTAGAGCATCTTACATGTCTGAATGGCTGCCTTGGCCTTGAATCTCAAGAGGTCAGTTACCTGTTGGTGAAGCTGTGTCAGGTCTTGTTCCATTAAGGAGGTGGGCGCTTGTTTATGTTGCAGTTCAAGGGATTTGATGTCGGAGAGCAGGTTCATTAGTTTAGCTTCACATACTCGCTTAATATGTGTTTAATCAAAATCCCTCGTATAACAGCTTTATGAGCTTCGCAGACTATGATCGAGTCGCTGCCAGGGGTGTTGTTGGTCTGGAAGTAAGTTGTCAGTTCTTTAGACATCAGCCAAGACTTTAGGGTCTTGCAATAGACTCTCGTTCAGGTGCCATTTTTGTTACACGGATGAAGAGGTATCCGTGAATGAGAAGTGCAGGATGACTCTGTAAGCCGAGATAGTACAAATAAAGGAGTCTTGGTGTAAATTTACAGAAAAAAGAGAGAGGTAGAAGGAAGGGTTAGGTAGAAAAAGAATATGGAAGAAAGAGGAGAAAGAAAGAAGGGGTGGGATCAGGGACTATCCCTGAGAGCACACTACTGGGGACTAACAAGAAGTTTTCAGAAAGTGCTCACTACAGTATAGCAAGAGAGTAATGCATGAGCGCAGGCCTAGATGGGGACGAGGAAGGATACAACCAAAGAGTAGAACCCCAAATGCTCCAGCAGGAATACATGAATTACAAGGTATTAACAATATATATTGCAGCAATAAATCAAGACAGTAGGCATACAGTAGAGCAACAAGCTGTTTCGGGGAGGAATATTGTACTCCAGAAGCTGATGGTTTTATTACAGCCTATAAGCACCCATGTTTAAGTTGTGACTGTACTCCTACGGGTCCATTCAGATACAGCAGACCTGGCGTATTGCCAAGGGTCCCCCACATCCAGATAGAGCACCCCCAATAGGGGGGACCATGCAAATTGATGTACGAGGGGTGGATCAAGATTACGCCCAAGCACATGGGCCACAGGGATCTCAAAGAGGGCATAAAACCATACCCGTATAACAATAGAAACACATCAACTGGGTAAAACAATAACCGTTAAACAGGATACATCCCTGAGGATTAAGAGTAAAGGAGCACATGTTCACCTGCGATCAGGTCTGGATAAGCGAGGTCTTGAAAATAGATTTAGTTGCTTAGAGGAAAGAAAAATTAAGGAGCTAAGCCCTTTAGGTGGCTGGCAACAGAGTCACAATTAGAGGATATATAGTCCTGAGAACGGTTGTTGGCTACTTCTAGGGAAGGTGATAGAAAAATTGAGGAGCAAAGCCCTCCAGATGTCCATGGAAATGTCAGTGTCTCTGAAAAGGCAGCAGCTAGAATAGCAGGTAAGAGGTATCACTTGCACTTACCAAGAAGCTAGCAGTATCAACTGCAGGGGAAGTCAGGATTCTGGGCCCAAAGATGGAGAACAGGAGCCACGTCTGCTTCACGAGGGCGCTGAGAGAGACCCATGGATTAAGAGGCAATCCGTCTGGAGAGTCACGGAGCAGCTGTAGCCAGTTTGGAACTGGGATGCTTTCTGTCTCCCAGAAGACAGATAGATCCGGTAGATGATCTGGATGCTGGAGGATGAAGGAAGATGAAATCCTACGGACCGTGAGAGAGGAATTCCCCAGCGGTATGTGCACTTCAGGTGGCGTAGTCTGTCCAGCAAGGGATGGAGCAGGGTGGCTCTAGAAAGGTCTGGAAGTATTTTCACTGAGGCCCTGTCAAAGACAACCTCTCCAGCTTCCCATGCCTGAGTTCCTTGTGGGAATAGCAATAAAGGCGGCAGGTAACCTACCTCGGTCTGTTAGGGTCAGCAGAACGGGGGTGAGCGCTCTGTGCACTCTATCGAACTCCAATTGCAGAGGTGGGATAGAGCCCAGGGACCTATGGAAAATTGCAAGACTATGTCTTGAAGAGCTTCCTGGCCAGTGGCCTCCGGGAGAGTTGGTGGGAGCTCTGGTGCTGTACGACTCTACACTGCCATGTCCAAGTCCCCCCTTTGAAAAAATGTTTTTATTGGGTTTCTGAAACATAGAAAAAAATTACAGAAACAAAACACAATTCTCCACATTTAATATGTCAGACATAGCCCCACAAAGCAGGGTAAGGGAGTACAGATAAAAACCCCACCTAGGGCATAACCATACATAAGCACTGTGAATAGGGGGAACCACAGACCACTAAAAAGAAAATCTGGGGAAATCATAATACACACATAATGGTAATTTCTTCTTGATAAGGATATTAATGGAAGGGAGATAAGGGTATGTCTTCCTCCTGTGATTTATTCAGCTCTGTGTGCATTCTGAATAGAGATGAGCAGTATATCTGCTTTTTACAGCATAGAAGTGTAAAACTACAGAAAGTCATGCTCTAGAGCTGGTCTGCTGGCAATGCTATATATTCTTTTTTGAGCACCATATTTCAGATCCTTATGTAACAGATTGTTTATTGTAGTTTTATACAGTTTAATTTGCAGAGTTTTGCTAATAATCTTTTTACAAAGTAACATTTTATTTCATACTTTTGTTTGAGCGTTAATTTCAACGCCTTCTTTGTTTTTCTCTGTAATAATAGTTCATAAACATGTAAACACATTATTTTAGTACTCTACATATTTGCTGTCTGCACAGTGTAATAATAGATTTAGTTTTATTCTCTGATTTTAAAGCCTGTATTTTTGACTTCTCTTCCAAACAAATTAAATCTTCTCATAAAACATTTGTAAATTGTGACATTGAACTTCCCTTTTAAATATATAATTGAAAGAATTTTGTTATGTCTATTTGATGCCTGTTGATCTGCTCAGATGTTCAGAGCTGTCCTGTGTCCTTGCACACTTCTTAAAGCGGAGTTCCAGTCGGTTTTGTGTTATTAAAAAAGTCAGCATCTACAAAAACTAGCTGCTGACTTTTAATAAATACACTTACCTTTCCCAGGGTCCAGCGATGGCTCACCCGCCGCGCCCCCTTCTCTGCCTCTTCTCTCCTCAGTGCCGGCATCACAACTGTGGGCACCAGGCTGTGACAGCTTACAGCTTCACAGCTGGGTGCCCACTGCACATGTGCAAGTCTGATTGGTCTGGCAGCCCTCCAGTTCTTTTCTTGTTTGCAAAAAAAATAGGCCATATGTTGTGGAGATGAGGAGGGATTCAGAAGTTTACTAAAATGTGTAGGGATGACACCATTTCTTGTGATTTCAATTCAGAAAAGGAATATGTTGATAGTCATCCACAGGACTAGAGTGCATTGCTGGCAGATCAACATATATATTTTTCTGTACCTGCAGGTCTTTGAAGGGAGAAAACATAAGGAAATATGCATGTAATCCAGAGATGTACTGCATGTATTTTTTGCCTTGGCATTCACTTAAAATGGGCTTTATTACTGGGAGGCGGCGTAGCTTCCAGATCACGTGACTGTTGTGACTGACTCTCAATTCAGTCTCATGATCGGGATTGGGGGTTGAGTCAGTGTTTGATACTTTATTAACTCTAATGGTTAATTTTTCAGGACAAGCTTTTAAGAACATTGTCCCTGTGTTGATGGTCAATGGAAGTAACAAAGGTCTAATATATCACCAATCTGTGGCAGGAATGTACCTCAGCCTAGATGTCAATAGGAATACCCCCCCCCCTTTCCTAGCATTGGTATCAGTTGGTTTAAATAAAAGCCCT